TCTTTGATATGATATCATAAATGATGAAATTGTAACAAAGTGATTAACTAAATAAAACAAATTTAGATTAGATTAATAAAGATTTAAATGATTTCTTAAGAATTTCAAAATAATTTCAGTGTCATATTGAATAATTCAAAAATGCTGTTGAATATTTTAAAGAATTCAATTAAAAAATAGAACCATTTAGAAATAAATTGTTGAATTTATATCACGAAAATGAGGAAGTATTTCAAATAGAATAATTTAGAATCATTGTGTTAAATTGTTTGAAAATTATATCCAAAAATTAAAAGATGATTCAATTTAAATTTAAAGGTTTTGTGAAGTAGAAAAATATTAAAAGCAAGTTTAAGATGAGATAGAAAAACATAAATAATTAGAAACAGAATGTAAAATTAAATTTGAATTATAGAAAATAAAAAAATAATAGAAATTTAAGAAAAATTGACAAAAAAATAATGTGATTATCTGAAGAGTTTGACCAAAGAAATAAAATTAGAAAATTTAACACGCTCATTAAAAAAATAGCGATAATATTTAATTGAAAAAAACAATTAATTTGAAAAATATTAAAAGAATCAAATAAATGAATCCTTAAAATTATAATACGAAATTTCAATTTTAAAACTTGGACTAGGAATAAATTTAGAGAAAGAGTAATATTTAAAGGTATATCTTTTTCCATTATGAAAACATTGTAGAATTAAATGTTTCCTAATTTAACATTTTCAACCGATTATAAACATGATAAAATGAACATTGATGAAAACGGAAAGCATGCTGAAATGAGTGGAGATGATTCTGGCTATTGTATTTGTGAGTAAATGATTCCTAAGATTGGTAAAATACGTTTTGCATTTGAAATACTTAGAATTGATGGATGGTGTGAAGTTGGAATTGGATTTAGAGAAATGATTAAATAAAACGAATATGAAGGTGAAGGTTAAGGTTACGGGTATTAGATATAACTAATATTTATAGATCATATTTATTATAAGATTCTTCTGATACATATTTTCATGATTCTAATAATACTCAAGGAAAGGAATTTGAATTTGATTTAAATGATATAATAATAATAGAAGTGAGTGTAGAAGAGAAATATATCAAATGGAGTAAATAAAATTCCTAAGAAAATTTAGTAAATTTAAAACTATCCTTAGTTAACATAAATTGATACATCTTAAGACTTATATCCATGTGTGTATCTTTGTGATTCAAAAGTTAGAATCAAAAATATATCATGATCAATAAGGATTTGAATTTATTATTAGATATAAAATTTTCACAACCAGAAAACTAAAATTTTTCCACTACTTACTTAATTTTGGTCTTTTATCCAACAAAGATATTTCTTAATCAAAGTTTTTATTTTGAATGAAGATTTCTACAAAATCTTTTAACAAGCCTAAAAAAATAATTAAAACTTTTCTATAATATATATCCAAAATGTCAATAAATGATTAATTTGATGTCTTTTATGTAAATTATTTATATTCTCTATGGAAAAGCTGGGGAAAAAAAAATTTGTCAATCCACTATCAATTTTTTATCTAAGCTATCTTATTTTTTATTCTTTTCGAATAAACCGAATTTATTCAAACTCTTTTTTATGGTTGCCAATTTGATTTTTAACTTTTCCTATTAACGAAATCAAATATTTTTTATTTGTTTTATTCCTCCTTCTTAAAATAATATATAAAATTTGTTAGAAAATACTAGTAATTAAGAAAAAAATTCGAAGAACTAATTGTTTAATCTGAGCTCTTGCTTAATTTAAGGGTTATATGATCATTCAAATAAATGAAGAGAGAGTAACTCATATCAAAAGGATCATTTTATTTCTCACTCTGTTAATAAAATAACAAATTTTAGAAAACTAATTTAGAACTGTTCGAAATTATTTTGTTTTTATAGTTGTAGTAGATATATAAGTTATTTGATTTTATGGTGAAACTTGGTAAATGAAATATTCAACAGTGAAAGACCTTACTGCTTTATATTTTTAACCATAATGAATAGATTTTTATTATTGATATTTTAATTTAGGTCTGTTTTTGCTTTTAGTGACTCAAAACTATATCTTAGCGATATTAATAAAGAAGTGTATTTATATTAAAATATATGAAGTGATTATCATTAGTTGAATTGAATTTATAGTTTTTATTTAAATTGTGGGAAGAGAGTAGGTTTTATAGCTTAAATTTCATTACATAAGCAAATTGAAATATTGAATTGCTAACATTTTCAAACACTCAGGGATTTCCAATTTTTTTCTTGAAAAATGATTAGAAGTAAAATATTTAAAATTATTAAATATTTAAAGCTTAGTTATAGAATATCTCTCAAAAATGGATAAATCCTATTTGTACTTCCTAAAAATTGACAACTAGTGAGTTTATCTTGTTTAAGTACTCTTTTTTATAAAATAACTTTTAACTTTCATATTCTATAATTATAGGTCAACATTATGTATTTGATTTGACATCACTTGAGTTATTAAGCTTTTTAATATATCATAAGAAAATTAATCATGAAATATTTAAATATTAATTTTAATAGAAAAATGTAATTTTAAATTACATGTAATTAAGCTGATCATCAAAATCAATAAATAATAAGGTTTTGCATAGATAGTTCTTGCACAAAATACAGATCTTATTGTAATTCTTGCATACCTAGTCATAGTGAACATCTTCATAAGTTAACATCCTTAGAATTTTTGTATTAATGGATTGAGCAAGGAATCCTTAGTATTGATAGTGTTTAAAAGAATGTTTAAAAGTTTAAAGTAGCCCTTGATAGTCTTATAAGTTAATTCCTTTCTTATTTTAACTTGAATATTTAAGAATTCTCATAATTAGGAGTATCAGAGATTGAAAAATTGATAAACGATTTGTGTAAAATCAAAGATTCTGAAAAAGTATTATTTATTCAACTTAATCAATTATTCAATTAAGGATAATCGATTATAAACGAAATACTTAAAAAAATAAAGAATTAAACAAATTTTACGTAACATATTAATTTGTAATTACAACATCTTAACTAAGATAAATTGAATTTAGAAAAATAAAATGATCCTTTTATATTATAACCAAATCCAAAATCAAACACCTATGAGTTGATGAATTAAAATTCTATTAAATTTGATGGTTATTGTCAAGCTATTGCTTTTGATAAAGATTGTTCAACTGTAGCACTTGGTTTTAATAAATTAATAAAAATATATGAGTTCAAGTAAGAAATGTTAACGTTAAATAAAAATATTAGATGAACATAAAGATTATATATGGACATTAAATTTCATGAAAAAATCCAATTAGTTT